TCCCATATTTGACATTTTAATATTGCTTTTGAATTTTTTTACGATATTAGTTAAATATGGTACAAGTAGGCAAGCTAACATTTAACTTGCTACATATGTACGTAAGAGATGTTGTTTCTTTTACAATGTATACCTTGTAATATACAATATCAAATAAAGAAATGATGTTTACCTACTGGGATAACTCCCAAAAAAAAAAAAAAATCAAAATAATATAATAATCTATTAGATTAAAAGAATATGTATTAGTATTTTATATAAGTTCTGGTGACAAATTACAAATACAAAAAAGAAATTAAATTATTATAGTCAAAAAACTATTATTAAAAATTTTTAAATTCAATTATTATATTACTTATATTTAATATTTATTATAATATTAACAATATTACAATAAATATTATAATAATGAAATTATACTTTATATTGCTTTGCTTATAAAACAATCAATGCTTGATTATGTTGAATAGTTTAAGTTTGTAATTTATTTAAAATAATAGTAGACTAAAAGTAGAGTCAATATTTATACTTATTCCTTAAATTGTAAGAAATTTTTTTTATAACATTTAAAAATTTTTAATTAAAAAGTTGTTTTTTATTTATTTTTTTAATAATTAAAATATTTTTTTAAAAATTTATATAATTCATAATCAGTTTTGTAGAATTATTTGTAAAGAATAACTTTAATTATTACAATTTTAATGATTTGATTAACTTGTATTAGAAGTAAAATAATTTTTTTACTTTAAACATATATTAAATTTTATATAATTTTTTATATTAAAATTTTAAACACAAAGTTTAAAGTTATTTATTTTGAAAATTCTCAATAAAATTAATAAAAAATATCTTAAACTATATTTTTTATAATATAAGTAAGTTATAAAAATTAATATTTAAATTTTATTAAAATTTTTTAAAAACTTATTAAAATTTTAAATATACAAGTAAATTTATCTGCATTACAATTTAATAAATAAAAATTGTTATTACAGTGAACTCTCTCTAAATGCACACTTCTTGAAACTATAAGAAAATTTTTGAAAAATGTATATTTATAAAGGGTGTGCATTTATGAAGATAATTTTATTAAGAATTCTATGTACTTGAAACCAAGCTTAACTATACATTTAAAGAGAAAAAATATAGTAAATACATTTATAAAGGATATATTTAAGGAGGTCTCTCTGTACTAAGAGTTTATTAGTTATATTTATTAGAAAAGAATTATTATAGCAATATTTTTCTTTTAATAAATTTTAATTTTTTTATATTTTTTATAATAGTATTGAGGTTTGTAACAACGAGTCTGTCGCTACATCATAATCACTAATTGTGTAATGTTGGAAGAGGCATGAAAATGAGACATGAGATAAGTAAAAGTATTAGATAATAATCTGAATTTTATAGTAAAAGGATGAGTTTTTATTGTTGCTTTGTCTCATGTACATTTCTCTCTTTATATATATATTAAAAAATCTCCAAAATTCCAAAAATCTTTCAAGTTTCAATTAAATTATAATTGAGTGAAGATAATATATGTTTAATTTATCTAATTTTTTGTCTCTCTTATAATAAAAAGATTTGTTTTTTTTATAGGTAAATATATTTTTTTTTTTTTTTAAAAAAAATTATAGAATATATCTATCTTAAAATAACAGATTAATATTTATAATTATATATATAATTTTTAATAGTATTATTTTAGTATTAAGTTAATATTGAATTTATTATAAGTTTAATATAGTAAGTTATAACTCATATGGTAAATTTATTATAAGTTGATATCAAGTTGATACTATTTTAATACTCAATTTGGAAATTTAATAGTAGTAGAAAGGATTTATTATTATTTTTATTAAAATTATATATTTGTTAAATATTATTACTTTTGTTTTATAAAAATAATTTTTAGTATTAAGTTTATTAATATTAAAATTTAATTTTGCTATATAATATCTTTCAAGATATTTATATACATGTATATTAATAGTACTGTTTCTATTAGAGATATATGTAGCCTTGCAATAATTACAAATAGCTTTTTTAATATTTTTAAAATTCAAATTTTTTATAAAATATTTTTATATTCTTTTATTTGTTACTATAAAGAATAATATTGTTTCAAATATATTATTTATAACAATATTATTGGTATTGTTATTTTTATAACCAATTAAACTATTAGTTTTATTATTAAAACAGTATATTAAAATTAAAATTATCAAAAGAAATTTCATGTTTCATTTTAAAAAAAAAAATCAATAAAAAATTATTGAATAGTAATCAAATAATAATTATTAGAATAAAAAAAAATATTAAAATATAATAAGCTTGTTAAAATATAAAGAAATTATAAAAACAACAGAATAAAATTATTAAACTTTTTTATTTACAATGTTATATTATGGAAAAAATAAATAGAACAGAATCAAGTTGTAAAAATTTTTTGATTCTTTTATTTTATTGTTTTATGCATTCTATTTTAATTTAATTTTTTTTTATTTCTATTTAAATATAAAATCTAAAAAATCTAAAATTGGATTTGATTCAATCCAAAATTGATTTGAATTTTATTGAATCAAAAATTTTAAAACCAAACCAATCAGAATTTTATCAGGTCAAAAATTTTAAAGATTAATTTGTGAATCAATTAATTTTGGATTAAAACTTTAATCCCTAATGAAAAGCAAGAATAAAAAAAGAAATAAAAGGAAATTTTGCATATAATTAAATCAAATTATATATATTTTATATTTTCAAAATATATTTTAGGCTTGTTTGTATTATTTTGTACTATTCATTGTCTATAATTATGCTTCTTTTAGCTACATTTATTCTATATGTATCATTATAGCAAATTTTAATTCAGAAAATATCTTCTTGAATATTTTGTAAAGTTCAAGGATTTTAATAGAAAAAAGCTTTGTTATCACTTGAAACAAAATATATGCACAATATATGCATATATTTATACATATTTAAATTGAATGTACAATTTTATTTCACCAATCATAAACATCATTGAAAACTTTTAAATTATATAAAAATTAGTTATCTGTGTAAATTTTTTATAGCATCAGGTGGGATTAAACGTCGTCAATTCTTGTATACAATATTTGACTGGGCTTTATTAAGTTTTATACACCGATTTAGTCTTCGGGTGTTATTGTCAACCTTCTGATGTAATCCTTAAAAGGTTTGTAGCAATATTATTATATTAGTTATTTTTATTATATAGTACATCATAATAAATGCATATTAATCTAATTTTAATCCCTTAAAAGGCAGTTGGTTCAAGAATACTCAACGTTACTGGTCTCTCTTCCAGTGCCATCTAAATCACTATCTATAATAACGGATTCGCTTATAGGATTGTCGTATTCTAGCTTTCTAGACGTTGAAGTCCTACTGTAAATGCTATCGGTATTTGACCGCATGCTTCTCCTATTGGAATTCTTATATTCACCTAAGCTTTTGGGTCGTTGTAACAAAAAGTCACTAGGTTTTGTGGATAGAAAAGTTGATTCATTGCTAGTGATACTACCGATACTGTTCCCGTAATTGTTTGGAATTATTATTCTAGAACTTCTATCATCCTCACTTCCTTCAATTTCCCCATTAGGGCTTGCGGAAGCTCTGGTATCGGTTTGCTGCTCTTGTAAAGCATCTTCATTGGGATGAGCCTTTATGGATACAGTAAAGGTTGAGGAAAATGGACTGTCAATCTTCAAAGATTTATCCGTAGACGGTAAGTGGCGGCCAATTGTTTCATCTTGTAAGATCAAAATTATTATCAGGCAGTTTATCACTGTTGAGGCGTTATGTAACGTCTGTAGTTTGTCGGGATATGATAGTAAGCAATCCTCGTTCAAAAAAGATCGATTAACGTAATGAAGACACTCGAATGAAGTATACCTGTTGTGTCCAAAAATTTTGAATCGTGGGACTAAGAAATGAAACAGATCCTGCAGCAATACACGAAATTATTGATATCGAGCATGCAACAATAATCAGGGAAATCTACTTCCAGAGTGGATTATTAGAAGCAATTTAATAGGGAATTAGGATAATACACACATAATGATACGAAATATACCTTTAACACGGATTTTTGTCGTTTTGCGTGATGAGAGGTTATGAAAACTCGTTTCTTTAGGGCAGCTATCATCAAACATCCAAATGTGTTGAAATCAACCACAATAAATAACAATGCGGCACATTCCACGAAAAAACCGGCTTTTAAAACACTCGACGACCAAGGCGACAAAGAATTCGAAACGGATATCATTTTAAGTACAAAACTCGTAACCAGTGACATCATACATAGGACCAAAATACAAGAATAAATTTGATTTAGGCGTTGCGCCAAATTTGGATGGTGTTTGTTTTCTTTGCATATATTTGTTGCCGCGGTTTTCCTAGAGAACAACAAGGTAACGAAAAGATGGACAAACATAAAGCTCAGTGATCTTATTTAAGAAAAAAAAAAGCAAGAAAAGGGTTTTTTTTTTTTTTTACAGTATTTACCAGGATATTTGAACAATCGCAAGGAACATCATAAGTAAAGTGTGACCGAAATAAAAAATAAATCCATGCAACAAAATCGAAAATCTTTCCTCGTATATATTGCCGGGATCCACGACAAGAAGTATAAATGCGGCTAAATGAAAGGAAAATGTTAAAATGTAATTTGTCACGTGATTATTTGCGAAATAAAGAACACGTACATAGACAAACGAAACAAATCCCTGGGTAAAGCCAAAATTTTACGTTCTTCATTACGAATCCCATCTTCAGGTAAGCTTGAGAAAGGAAGTGCAATGCCGCAGAGACGACAAGAAAAAACGAAACACTTGCCGCGACGGACCAGAGTATCCATGGTGGGCTTGTTGCAAGTTCAATCCAAGGACCTGCGTCTATTTTCGTACATTAGGAAAAGTGAATTAGTTTTTCTTTAATAATGAAGAAATTATAAGTGTATTAAAAAAAACAAACAGTACCTGCCGTAATATTTGCATACTTAACCTTACTTGAAATGTTTTGTAAGTCGATCGTGTCCTGATATGTTAACAACGCCAAACCCGGTAAAGATTGATCAAGGATATTTCGGTCCCCATTGTACGGTTCAATTAGACCCGGAACCCCATCATTTGAAGAACCAAAGATAATGACTCTTGGAATGGTCGTGTCAGGCAAGTCACGTTTGATAAGACCACCCAGGATACCCGGAACTTGTGATACTACCGGTGCTACTACTTGGCTCACAACTGGTGATACAACATCTGATATAACTGGTGATGCAACATTAGATACCACATTTGATACCACATTTGATACTACTGGTGATACCACATTTGATACAACTGGATTCACAACATTTGATACCACATTTGATACCCCATTTGATACCACATTTGATACCACATTTGATGCAACTGAACTCACAGCTGATACCGGAGAGTTTAGAACGTCGGTTACAGCAGGCAGTGCAGGACTATCTGTATCTGGTGCCTGTGTTTGTGGCGATTGCTGTGTACCTGATTCTTGCGTATTTGGTGCTTGTTGCGTATTTTGTGAATTAAGTGCACCAGTGGTAGCTGATGGAGTTTGAACTGTCACAAATGTTGATGTGCTTAAAAAATCGCTGCTCGCAGTTGAAACATCAACCAATGTATGAGTTGATGTAGTCAAAGAACCATCGCTTTCTGTGATAACCTCGAGTGACTTGTGTGTTGCTGTAATCACATCACCACTTTTAATACTTGAAATCCTGATTGATGTGATCGTTGTAGGTGAACGATGCGGGGATTTTGTTCCAGAATGTGGAGAGGAATCACCCTGACTTTCACCTTGCGATTTTTTTGTCCATGAATTACTAAATCGCAAATTATAATTATTCTCATTGATTTTTCACCAGCATACAAATGGACACTTTCACAACATCAAATGAACCTTTCACACCTTATCAAAACATCTGCGTAAGATTCGCAGCCAGAACTCAGTGCTTCGTGTAAGGGAATCACCAGAATAATAACATCTTCAGGTAATTGTTGCACCTTGCACCTAGTCGAATTATCTACAATAAACTTTGCGAAAGCCAAAGTTCCTCCAATATTTCCATAATTCGGACGTTTGAGTCCCATGAAATCAACCTGGTCAAACGAACCAATTTCATTGTTTTTGTAATCAAAAGTAATTAGTCTTGAGGTAATTTTATCGAATAAAAATGCAAGCGTCAAAACGATTATGATTAATAACCGCCCCGGCATAATAGTAATTTAAAAGGAAAAACGAGGTTGGGTGTCAGTGTTAACAAGCTATGCTAAAAAAAGAAAGAAAGATAGGGGTTTGTTTAAGAGAATGCAGAATTATCCAGAATTCTTTAATGAATGTGAAAATATATTATCTGAAAGAAATGCATCCTGTTAAAAAGGAGGGAATCTAGTTGAACTCTGACACCGCAAATTTAAAACGAGTGAATATGAAAGAACAGAATAGAAAATTAGAAGTATCTTATAACATATTCTGATGTTCTGGTTTGTATAATTCCTGTTTGTCGGTTATCCGATGGAAAAAAACATACTTATTTAAAAGGAAATTTTGAAAACCAATATAAACGGGTATGAAGATCTTATTATAAAAAAACCAAGTTGACTGTATGAATTTAATTTGGTACAAACCCATTGTCGTATTTTCCTGTCATCTCCGTTATAAAAAAAAAAGGGTCCGTGTAACATTGTCACCACGAGATGTGAAAAATTGTTTGTTTTCTTAATCTGCAATTACATCATAGTCTACTATCCGTTCGATCGTTCCGTTAAAATTATTACAGGCTCCGACCGGTGCAATACGCATAAAGGCAATTATTTCCGAAGGCGGAAAAGAATTTTTGGGCATAATTGTGGTACATAGTACATACAAATGCACATAAATTTGTGTAAGCAAATGAATACAGTATACACAGTACACATAGTTGTTGGGGGAAAACAATATATGCGATGTGGCAGAGCCCTGTTCTTTGCAACTACTACTGTCTTGTTGTCAGAGGCTTCTATGCTTTTATTTAGCAATCAAATAAAAAAATGCATATGACCAAGGATAATCGATTGTGGAATATAAATAATTTGTTGTGATTAATCTCGATATTTTTGTTACTATCGCAGGAACCATTTCACAATTAAATTAATAATTTGGATTGAATCAGATAAAAAATTATATACATTAATGAAATGACAATCATAACAGTAATAATATTATTATTGGTAATTGGTAATACATCGGAGGTAAACGTAGGGGTTGGATGTGCTTAAAGGTTTAAGGCGTGGAAATAACTTTGTCCGATCTAACAAACAACTCGAAGTTAAATTAGCATACATGAGATATGCCATTAGTCATTCGTCAGGATTAGATTATTATTTTTTTTAAAGGCTCGAGGCTCAGAAATAACTCGGCCCGATCTAAAAATAAATTGGCATAAATGAGATATAGTATGTCATCATGCTCCCTTGTTTATATGACCATCACAAAAGACCTCTCATCCTTTTAATTCATTGAATGTAATAAAAAAATTCACTATACCAATCACTTATTTCGGTATTCATATACTCCAAAAGAATTTTAAAATAAAAAAAGGCAATGCCGATAAATTGATATAGTATATTAATATATTATGCGTTTGGGTTTATTCCGATAATTTGTAAACTAAAAATAATTCAAATTGCAATATACTGTATATATTGTAGGGGATTAAAGTTTTAGATCCAAATCCGATTGATTTACAAAGCGAACTTTAAAATTCTTAAACCAATCAAATTGGATTAGGATAAATTTAAATAAAAAAAACCATCGATTTAATTAATTATTTAACCTTATTTATATGTGTTGTTACATAGCAAATCGGGGCTTAGAAAGCTTTAACCAAATTGAGATTTTCGGTGAATTATATTCGTTTATCTGTAGAACAATTTTAAATATATTATAATATATTACAATCTTGCGTGCAGTTTTTTATTTAATATACTGTAATTCAATATATAAATTTGAATTGATAATCGTCTAGATTTCCAAATCGGAACTTTGTCTCACATGTTTTTTAATGTATACCCAATCCATATAACAATGGAATCACACTATTTGAATTATCATTACTATATTCAGTAAAAGATAAAGTAGATCAAAAAAACAGTCTTTTGAATAAATTACGTAATTAAAAAAGAAAAAACTAAATAGAAAAAAAATTACATTTATTTATAAAAATTTTATTTATATTTTTAAATAGTAAATAATAAATTTTAATTAGATACTTAGCATACTAATACTATATAACATTATATACTATTTAAAAAATATTTATTTCTTAGAAATTCTAATAACATATAAATTTTATGAAATTAATTATATATTCAAATTATTTCTTATCTTTATATTTATTATTTATCTAATTTCTTATTTTTAAACTTATAATCAGAATTAATTTCACTATTATTATCTTCAATATCAAATTTATAATTAAATTTAAAGTTAAAATTCAAATTGTAATTATTTTTAAAAATTTTTTTATTATAATTTTTTTAAACTATAAAAATTTTAATTTTTTTTATTGTTCTAAAAATTAATTATTTTAGATTCATTGTAATTAATGTTTATATTAATCTTAAAAAAATAATTATTTTTTATTAAGACCTAATAAAAATTTGTATCTATTATAAAAAATTTTAATATCTCCTATATTAAAAAAAAAAGTTTAAAATTTTATTAATGCTCTTTTATTTTATTATAAATATTAATTATTTTAATTATTGAAAACCTATTAAATTTTATTTTCAAATTTTTTAGCAGTTATATAATTATAATATTTTTAAATAATTATTTTTTTAATTCCACAATCAGGCCAATATAATTTATTTATTTATTTAACAACTGAATCATTACAAGTATAAGAATGTCTATAAAGTAAAAATTTCCTCAACCTAGCTCACCCGTCAATAGCCAAAGTTTTTAGATATAATTTATAGAAGTGAAATATTGTTCCTCTATTAAAAAGAATTAAGATTCTAGTACTCCAATAGGATTATAATTTGCAGATTACCTTTATAGTTATGACCATAAATCTAAATTGTATTACTTCTTCTTGTAAAAACTACATAAGAGAAAAAGAAAAAAAAAACAATACAATTATGTACATGAGAAACAATTGAAAAAAAAGTAAAAAAATGGTATCATCTATTCTAACTATCATTGAAAAGGTTATCTCAATGAACTTAAGATTCAAGTTCCTCATGATTTTTTACTTCTCACTACTTGTAATCAATCAAACTGTTTAATTTTTATTGAAGCAATCAATGTTCAAAAATATTTAAGGGCACTTCTAAAAGAATATTTCTTGAAACTTTATACTTGAAAACTTCTAATCAGAAGAGATATTGATTTTCTATTGTTGATTTTTCTTTCAAATCATGTCTTTCTGGAATTATTGCTTCATTTAACTAGTGAATAGTTTTAAAACCTCTTTCTTCAACCATTTTTAAAATAAATATCAATACTTCAACTTGTTACCAAATTGAAATAGAACCTAGATCTTGTTACTACTTTCTGTTCTCAGAAAAAAATAGGAAAAAAAAAAGAAATTGTTTCTTTTCTATTTACAACTTTTGTTTTACTTACAACTTTTGCTTTACTTATAACTTTCATATTATACCTTTAACTAATAAACATTTAATTCTTTCAGAAACTAATTACATTATTGATTTGATGTTATATAACTAAAAACATGTAAGGAGTATATGTCTTGTTTACTTTTTTTAAGGCTGATGTGATCAATCAATCTGTAGCCTTGATCAATTATTTTTCAAAGGATCTGATATAACTAAGGCTCTGAAAAATACAGAACTGGTATCAAACTAGTATTGAAATAGTACTGATCTATAGTAAATTTAATATATGGGTTATAACCTACTTATATAATTTTATAGTAAATTTAAGTATTGAACTGATATCAAAATAGTATTGTTAGGAGTCCTAGATATAATCAAAATTTGGGATCAAACTGAGGTAAGCAAAATTCCTTAAAAAAACCCAGAAAAAAGGAAGTATACTTGAGAAAGAAAAAGTAGAAAGCCAAAGAGATAATGAGAAGACTAAAGACTTTTATATTCTTGTTTCTTTGGATCCTTAAGTTTTTTGAAAGCCTTTGGAAAATATTTTTTCTTGTCAGTTTTTTTCCTAAGAAAATGATGTTCTTGCCATAGGTTTTTTAGATAGGTTTCTTGTATTTGGTTGCAAAAATAAATAATAAAAGTATTTTGAAAAGAAAAAAATAAAACAAGTGATAACTGTAACTAAAGATGGGTCCCTAAATTAAAGGCAAGGACATAATTCAAATGTCCATCACTATTAAAAAAGTTTTTTTTTAAATATAAGATTAAAAAAAAACTATTTACAAAGGTTTTTTGCAATTTAGGACACTTAATCCAAGTGTTTTTTGAATTATATCCCTATTAAAGTAATGAATAAATAATTATGTCCCTTCAAAAGAGACATAATTGATC